TGCATTTATCTCTTAAGTCCCGAGGTTGGGAATGAGACATAGGGTGCACTTATGGAGGGGGTGCACTTATGGAGGGTTGACTGTACTCCATTACCCAATTTGGCTAATTTAGCACAAAAGAATTTTAAATCATGCACAAACATAACAGCTTGATAGTTTGATTGACATAATGGTGCAATCTTGCAATTTTTTTTATTGCATAATTAATTATATATCTTTAATAAAGCAAACATGACTAAAGTTGGTGCCTGTAACTGTTTTCAGATTTTCTGCAACTGCAGGTTTCAAAGCTCGAGTTGCAAACTTTTCTGCAACCTCTGCAACCCCTGGAACTGTCTGCAACTATAATCATGATGATTTAGTGTCAAAAATGGAATCACATAACTGCAAAATGGGATTTATTGTTTTTAAAAAAATTTTTTTTGATAAAAATAAATTTAGTTTTATAGTGATTGAAGTAGCTGACCAACCAGAGGTTGCAAACAATTACAGGCAGTTGCAGACAGTTGCAGCAATTGCAGACTTGCAGCAGTTGCAGCAGTTGCAGCATTAGGTGTCAATATTTTTTTGGATTGCAACTTCCTAGTTGCAGAGCCATCTTTAGATGGGATTTCTAGGTCAGTTTTGCAGAAGAAATGTTATAATAAGAACAAACTGTGGTTATAATGAAAATCAAAGAAACTGGTGAATTAGTTGATGGCTATAACCCAGTTTGTTGGAATAAAAAAGAATATTCTTCAGATAAAGGTTATTTTATTGAAGAGGACCAAAGTATTATTTTTAAACTTGATAAAAATAAATTATCTAAGTCAATAATAAGTAGAAACATGGGTCCTTAATGGGCAATACAACATAATAGTGGAGATGTTCACTGTATTGAAGATAATAAAAACTTTTATGGAAATGTTATAAGTTTTCATGATTTAGCATTAGTTAACAGCATTTAATGGTGAACCTTACTGTGATTATAGATATACTGAAAATACTTATCTTGATGATTTGAAACTTATAAATCATAAAAAAAGATTTCATAATATAGAAAAATTAGAAGTGTATAAATTAGTGGAAGACTGGATTTGAATATCTACTTCAATCAAAACTAAGAAAAAGACCTCAAATAGAAATTTTAGCTGAAATTTAGTATCAAAATTCAAATTTATTATTTTAAATTAGGATAAAATTTTATTGTTTGGATTTTAATTATTAATAGATATAGTTTTAACTGGATCATTCTTGAAATGGTTGATTTCATCAAAATAATTATAATGCAGTCTTGAAAATCAATAATCCAATAATTAATTAATAAATAAACAAAGATAGCTTTACTAATTAACAATAGTTTTATTATGTAATTTTATTACAATGTTATTGTCATAAAGCTATTTTAAGAATTCAAGGTGTTTAAATTATAGTTGTTTGCCATAACTGCTCCTCTTATCAATCAATTATCATCAATGTATCTGTAATTTCATAGTTAGTTTTTTGTTGTTGCCAAAATTATCTCCAACTATTTGAACTCTTTAGTCAAATGCATATTAATATATAGTTATTTTATGTTCATTCATATAAAGAATATTAAGAATCCATAATTATTGTCATAATTACTTTTCTTCCAAAGTGGCAAAACTTTTGACTTTAGTCATTGACATAATGAAAGTACTGACTGAAGGTAGTTTCTCATCAAGGGCCATTATTATGTCTCCTTGGCTATTGTATTTATAATCTGGGATCATGTCAAATTTTCCCTTTTTGATAGAAAAGAAGAATTTTTGTAATTAATAAGGATACATACTGGTAAAGTCATATTGTCTTCCATAACCTTTCCATTTAGCCTCTTGAGGATCTAAGGGTTCATTTGCTGGTACACTAAGACTACATTGCTCAAATGCCATAAAGCCATACCCTATAAAAAATAACATATGGTTCATGTACTGTTTCCTGTAAATTTCCCATATATTTTCAGTCAATAATTTTTTATAGGAGCATGACTTTTTCATTACCACCACACATACTTATACCCATTGGAATGCCAAACATTTTTGACTTTTCAAGTAATGCAACCATTTTTCTTCATTAAATCTAGTATATGTTCTGTAAGAGTTTCAAAAGTCTTACAGTGGGCAATGGTAAAAGCCATCAAGTGATACAAGTGGTGTGACAAATTTTACCAATAAATTTCAAGAAAATCATTGTGATACAAGCAGACTAAGAGTTTTAGCCAATAGAATTTAAAGAAAATTAATATGATACAAATGGTGCATGAAACACTTGATATGGAATCAGTATGAAATTTGTAACTATAACATACTGAAAAGGTACATTTTAATTCCGTGTATAATAATAAGATATGGAATAGGTATGGAATTTGTAGCATACTAATACTGAAAAGCCATATATAAGGTATGGAATTTGTGACATATTAATACTAATACTAATACTGGAAAGGTTCTAATATGTTTTGATTCTGTGTTGCAAGAGTGCAATCTGAGTTTCCTATTTAATGGGTTATTTTATGTTCAACACACAGCCTACCTACTGACTTACAGTCAAAGTTATTTTTATATGACACACAGCCTACCTGCTGACTTATGGTCAAAGTTACTTTATCCTTTTGGATAAAGGGTCCCTAGGTTCTATTTTACTAACTATATCCCAAAGGCATCCCCTTGAGATGTATCTGAATAATTAAAAGGGTTCCCAACTAATAATTAAAGGTTGGCCAGACCATTAACCATTAG